TTGTGAATGACAAATAAGTAGGAAAACCAAAAATGCTCACAGATTTATGCATTCACATGAACACAAAACTAGATAGTTTTAACAATTACTTTGCCAAAAATTAAACAGTTGCTCAGCTGGTCAAAAAATTCTCAGATTTTTAGGGAACCCAAAGGATCATCACTGTGCTACCAAGAGACCACCAGTCCATATTCTTGCACTATATTTAAGATCCAATTTAACATTATCCTCCCATCTATCCCTTGACTTCATTAGCAGCCGATTCCACTTAGATTTTTGAACTAAAATTTCTTTATGTATTCCTCACCCCCTCCATGCTGTAATTCGTCAAGAATTGTGTCATACCTGAGCTTGTTGCAGGTGGAGATACACCTGTGGATCCATCATTCTGCAGCAAATTTACAAGCAATGGACTTGACAATGCCACATTATTGGCACCACCAACAGTCCTAGGGCCGACTACACCAGACTGCTGTGATGGCGGTTTATTTGCTGGACTATAAGGCTGGCCAGCCTGAGGTTTACAAGGCTGTACTGCTGTTGGTGGTTGTAAGGCATTTCCACTAACACTTCCACTAGAAATTGGAGTGGGTGTAGGGGAAGGGCCAGGGTATGGAGGGGGAGGTGGTGCTGCAAAACTATGATGGTTAAAATTCCCTGCAACTGTTGTCCCAGGTGTAGAATTATGATGATGGTGATTTGGCTCTGATGCCCTGCTCTGCATGGCATGTGCTGCATGATTCATACTTGCATAAGGGAAAGGTGCATGATAATGATGTGTGGAACCCCGAGAAGTTGAGGGCATCACAACAGGTTGTCCTGTGGATGAAATCACATTAGGGCTAGGCACAGAATCTGAAGGGGGTTTAGGTGGTGGAAACGGAGGGATGGGATCACCATCTGTCGGAGCCACAACATTTGGGCTTCGGAACTGTTCTGTGGAAGCTGCAACTCCTCCAACTGTAAGAAAATTGTAATGAAAAGTTAACATGATACAAGTAGGATCTGAGGTTGATACAACTTTGTGAAATAAAATGAATTACTTTTAAACAAACTAAACCTAAAGTTAAATAAAAAGTTACCTAATCCCATGACTCATGATAATGAACTTTCCTCTAATATAGCAGGATTTTATTGACCACCTGACTGCCAAGCCTGGGAAGAATAACATAGTCACAACAGCCTCAAACTGAAACCTATCTTAATCTTAATGATATTCGTTCTAAATTCTGCTCAACATTTCTGTAATTCAAACTTGATGCATGATCAGACACCACTATACATGTTAGACTGTTCTTCCAATGACATAATAGTAGTTGCCAGATATCTTGTGATCTGTGCTCCCTTGTTACAATGGATGTGGCACAGTCGGGTAAAGATTCAGGGTGAAGCACCTTCCCACCTTTGATGCTAGCCCCCCAACCCCAACAGCTCACAAGATGTCTGCAAACTACTATACCAAAGATGGCCACCACTTAAATATCAGTCACGAGTAGCTAACGCTCTTCTAAAAAGGTTTGATTCCCTGCATATGAAGTGTATGCAAATCGTGTTTATTTAAATACCACATGCCTCTAAATAAGACAAGACTCCAAAGAACTATGGTTTTTTTGGTGATATTACAGGAACTAAGGTCACAAACCCTAGAACTGTCCAGGGTTTGAGACTAGGTGAAGAAGTTGGGTTTGGGATGACAATGATAAAATATTTTTTTTTATGATATAACTAACTAACTAGATATTATGATATTCAATACATATATTAAATAATAAGGTCAGCTGCAAGTTTTCAGGCAATGAAGTAGTTGGTGAGTAAGTCTTATTCAGAGATGGTATCTGGATAAATATGTTATTGTTCAACAATATCTCAAATTAAACAAAAATTCAGCACTAAATATTAATTATACATGTTTCAAAGCCATTTTCTCTATTCCCACTAATCTTTACTTAACCGATCATTCAAAGCCCTATAATGTTTTAAACATACCTCCCACAGATGCTGCTGCTACAGACTGAGCCAAAATGTTTGCTAGACCAGCCACAGTACTACTTGCTTGGCTTGGGCCTGCAATACTTGCACCATCCTGGGTCACAGCTGCATTGCTTGTTGAGGGGACAGAATTCCCAGACACACTTCCTGCAGCAATGGTAGTGGTTCCAGAGACAGATGATGAACCTCCACTTCCATCACTTCCATGAGGTCCTGAATTGGCTGTTCTTAAAACAATCTCCTGTGCCTCCCCTCCAAAACGACCAGCAATGCGTAGTGAAATAACCTGAAAAACGTTTTTAAGGTCTTTAATTAAAATACAAATGCGAAGGTAAAGGTTCTTTAACATGAGGCCCAAGTGTGATCTTCCAAAGCACACAATATTCATCACGTCAATTTCTAACCTCAACACCATAAGAATTATGACATATTAGCTCTGTTATTGCCTCTAGATCTTCAAAATGTGAATGCTCTCTTATAAATAGCATAAGCAGTTATGGGAGGTTTTTTGTTCTATCAAAATATGACTTCTAACTGATGTGAATAACAACAGTGAAGCAACAGTTGCCTGTGGCCAATGACCTTTGTGTGGGCAGCATGTCTCACTAGATGAAGACATCATCATGGAGAATTCTTCCACATGGTTTCATCACACAGGATGTCTGGCTGCAGATTCTCAAAAGTAATTACTGTACACAGAAATTATGGGTGTGTGTCTTAATATGATGTGCCTCTTAAAGTAGAACTGGAGTATGCTGATAGGTTTTAGTAAAATTCTCTAATATCGATACCACTACAAACAATTCAGCATTTCTGAAGTTGTTACAAGTAACAGAGACACACAGGCATGGTAAAGCTGATAAGTAACCTTTGGTTGTGAGTGTGAATAAAAACCAAAATATTTCATGGGTTATCTGAGTGGAGTGATTCTAACAGCAATAAAGATAGATATTACAATTCCAGTGCTCCAACCACAATGCATTCATTGAACCACTTTCCACCTTCAGTGATTAAAGCTAAAAATGTACAAATTACAAGAATCCATAAAAGAATTTTACACTTTACTAATTCATCTCCAGAGAAATCATTAAAGAAAGTTCGAAGAAATAATTACTAAAAACATGCCATTTCTTCACAGTTTTAATACTTCAACTAAGGTATAATCACACTTTCCATCTTTAAATTATTACCTGATCCCCTTCAACTTGCACTGAGAGAATACCAAGTTGTGTGAGGGCATGGTCACCTTGCTGTGCAAGCTGACGCAGTCTTAGTGCCGCTTCTCTTGGGATGGTGAAAGTCACCCGCACAGAATTCCATGGCTCTACCTTTGCAACACGCAGTGATTCACCATTACCTGAATATGAATACAAATATTCTCATTAAACCTGTAAAGTAGAACTGCCCCTATTACTAAGCACCAAAGCATCACACCACAAGAGATCTTTCCACCAGACCTATTAATTCATGTTCTAGCCACCCTTACACCCCTCTCTCTCTTTCTCACACACACAAAGCCTCCAAGGTCCAACAGATAGAAAGTGGATGGGCATCAGAACTGTCTGGACAGTGCTGGAGATATCCTTTAACCACAAATCAAATCTCAATCATGTGGTCTGTATCCAGCTACTTACTGACAGGGCTAGCCGAGCCCATTAATTTCATTTAAACCAGATAAAACTTGCCTCTGCATCCAGACCAGCACTGGGACCCACCCAGCCTCCTGTGTAATGAGTACTGGGGGGTCCTTTCCCTGAGGAAAAAGTGCAGCTGAGGCGTGATGCTGACTACTCACCCCTATCTAGAGCCAAGGTTGAGAATGACTAAGAGCTATACCTATTCTCCCCAGAACACCTACACAGCATGTAACAGGATGGGTTTAACAGATAAAATGTAGTGTTTGTGGTTATTCTGAAAGCTACTTTACCAAATGTTTTTAACATTTTCTATCCTTTCCACTTTTCTTAATACAAATACAGGTAACCCTCAATTTGCGCCGATTCAGAATAACGCCGATTTTGAAACCAGCAAGTCAAAAAGTGAAAAAAATATATTTTACTATTATTTATAATGTTTTGTACGGATTCTTATAATAAACCGTAATTCTTACATCGCTGATTTTGAATACAAATTATAAATACAGTCATCTCTTCAATTACGTATGTTTTGTTAACACGAATTTGCTCCAATGAGATCGATGAATCAGTAAAAGCTGTTTGTGAAATGCAAACTTTTGCATATGTGAGTTTGCTCTTATGCAATTTCATTCCTGGCACTTTAAACTTTCAAAGGACTAATTTAATCTCTGCGGAGGTACCAGGGTTATTTTTATTACGCGATTTTCTATAGGTCGGCGACTTACATGAATGCAACTATTGCATAACAGCAGAGATGACTGAACACATCAATTACATGAAAGAATCGCAGTCAATCGCGGGGACTAAGGAATTGCCAATTGTAAGTGTATAAAATATATTTTTTAAATTCCCTTTATTTTATTTACGTTATTCAGAGCTTTAAATGTAATGTCATTATACAGGCTGCGGCAGAATTGATTAGACGATTTGAAATTGGCGCCAAATGCATATGCCGGTAGATAGCGTGCTGATTGTTGCGGCTGTGTCTAGAGCAGTTCAAAGCCTATTAGTCGCCATGGAGCGTTGGTCGTGATTTTCGTGTATTTGCTGTGGAAAGCTTTTTTTAGAAAATAATGATTCAGATGAAGCCCATTTTTATCTAAGCGGTTATGTTAATAAGCAGAATTTCAGGTACTGGGCAGAAGAAAACCAGTGCTTACTGCATCAATCACCTTTGCATAGCCAGAAGGTCACAGTATGGTGTGGATTCAGTTCATTTGGCATTTTAGGACCATACTTTTTTGAAGACAACAACAGACATGCAGTTACGGTAACTGCTGAGCGTTATGTGGCCATGCTAAATGAATTTCTTCTGCCAGAACTATGCTGACGCCACAATGATATACGCTTAGTATGGTTTCAACAAGATGGCGCGACATCTCACACGGCACAAATCTCAATGCAAACAGTTCGAGAAATGTTCCCAGGACGTGTCATCTCAAGATATGGTGATGTCGCTTGGCCTCCACGCTCGCCGGATTTATCCCCATGTGACTACTTCTTATGGGGATATTTAAAGCACAATTTCTACGAGAATCGACCTCACACCATTGACGAGTTGAAGGAAGCCATCAGGACTACCATTCTGCAAATTCCAGTGGAAATGCTGAAGAAGACAATGGACTCTCAGGCAACGTACAGAGGATTGTTTGCAGAACAATGGAGCTCATCTGACTGATGTTGTCTTTAAAAAGTAGTTATCACATGGCATGCTTTTCTACAGACTTCACAAATGTAAGTGTTTATTATATTAACTGAAAATAAATTACCCATTTCACAAATTTAAATCATCTAATGTATTCTGCAGCACATGTATTACTCGTCAATGTTTGGGTGCTGGGAACGCATGTCACTGACTTCCCATTGATTCACATTATAAAAGAGTTTCAATTTACGCCGATTCGTCCAGGAACGCACCCCGGGTGTAAATCGAGGGATATCTGTACATTTTGTACTGGTACCAAATTGTAGCTCACCACTATCTTACACTGGCCCTGGGTATTCAAAAGTACTCCATCACATTTTGCTCTACACTCTTTTTGAAGTTATAATTCCACATCACCCTGATAAAACAATAGAATACACTAAAACTGCACTAAAACCTTTGCGTAAATTCTGTTGTGTGGTTAGTATGGTGGAGTGATACTGGCTTTCGTGTTTCTAGTGTTAGGTACTGAACATGTTTCTTTTCTATATATTTTCCCACATTTTCATTAAAAAATTCACATAAGACCTTTCATGCAGTACAAATTCTTAGCTGCAACATAACCACATTATGAACTAAAAGCATATAACAGATTTACATCATTCTACAAACAACGATGACCTTTCCCAAATATAGGTGGTAGAACCCCTACTTTTGGACTGAAATATAAAAATAAAAAAGTGCAACTCACACAAATAAGGTAGCAAGGTCTATCAATCAAAATTAAAGCATGTAAAGATAAGCAAGGTAAAATAATAGTAGACAAAAAGGAGATTTTTGATAGATGGGCTGAGCATTTTGAAGAACTGTTAAATAAAAATGATGTAAATTCTGCAATAAATAATGAAAATGTTAAACATCTAAGTGCACAGCCCTTGATAGAATATCCTACTATAGAGGAAATAGAAGATGTAATATTAAAATTAAAAAATATTAAGACTCTAGGCAAAGACTATTACCACTGAATTAATAAAACATGGATATCACATCTCATTAGGATGAATAATAAATTAATATAAATGATATGGGATGAAGAAAGAATGCCATCAGAATGGCAGGAGGGTTTGATATGTCCAATTTTTAAGAAAGGGGACAAGTTACTTATAAAATTGTCAAATATTATGCTTAAGAGACTTAATGTATAAATTGAAGAGATAGTAGAGGAATACCAATGCAGATTTCAACCAACTTGAAGCACCAGTAAGGAAATATTTGTGATGAGGCAAACAACAGAAAAATGCTATGAAAATAATACAGATTTGTACATGTTATTTGTTGATTTCTGGCAAGCTTTTGATAGCATATTATTTATTATTCAGGTTCTGTCTTATGACAGGTCCATTGCTCTGCCCAAACAGAGCTCTCCAGTTTTCCCTATTCTCGGCTTCTCGTTTTAATTCCTGGAACGTCATCTTCTTTCCTTGTTTAAGATCGTCGGTTAGCTGTATCAATCTTCTTCCTAGTCCTCTCTTTCCTTCAACCTGGCCTTCGGTGATATCACTCAGTAATCCATTCCTTCTCATAATA